TGCCGGCTGGGCTTAAACCACGACACCAGCTTAACTAAAACCAATTACAGTTCAATTACTGCAAACTGCAGGTAAAGACTTAGCTTACAAGCTTGGGCACTTCTGACCGGCTTCTTGTGCTTAAAAAGAAGTGGGTAAATAAGTGGGCTTGCATGGTTGCAATTAGAACTTCAGCTAATGAAATGGCAAGAAAAAAAATCTCAGAAGCTTACATCTGATGTAGGTCTTAGCTTACAACTAAGTAGACAAAGCCTCAAAGCTTGGCAATTGCTATTACTGGTAACATTTACTGTCAGAACAAAAGAAGTCAAGGTCTAGGAATTAAGTGAATAAAATGCAACAAAAGCCAACCCCATAGAAACACAGAAGTCACATAATAATGGAATTTTCCATTTAAAAAAATAATGTTGAAAGGGGACTGCCTCAGCAGAGAATCACTGGAGTGTTGAAGGCTTGCATTCAAATTAGATCTTCTTTGCAACTGCAAACATTGACTCGTGCAAATTTAAAACATCTAACATCTCAAATGAAAATAGATTAAAAGGCCATGATACGGTGGTTGTTCTGTTCAGTTAAATGTTTTTCAAAGATCAAAGAACCACACTGGCTCATGGCAGCAGGGGTTCAAGCTCATGATTTCTACTTCTTGGTGTAACTAAACGCAGCTATTCCCTTTGGCAGTTACAATTAATTTGTATCTTCTGATGTGTCTCTTTATTGAAGTCAGGAGATTAGCTAAAAAAGATGTAAGTACAAACTTGGAAATCATTTTATTCAGCTGGGATCACGGGAAATCACAGAGCAAAAATTCATGTTTAAGAAGGAGATTGATCAAGCTGACTTGAATTTACATGATTTGCAGAAAAAAAAATCCTAATGTTGTATTTGGGTTGTTCAGTCTGAAGGCGAGAAGGCTCTGGGGAGACCTTAGAGCAGCATTATAGTACTTAAGGAGGGCCTACAAGAAATCTGGAGAGGGACTTTTTACAAGGGTGTGTAGTGACAGGACAATGGAGAATGGCTTTAAACCGAAGGAGGGTAGGTTTACATTAGCTATTAGGAAGAAGTTCTTCACTATGAAGGTGGCGAGGCACTGGCACAGGGTGCCCAGAAGAGTTGTGGCAGCCCCATCCCTGGCAGTGTTCAAGGCCGGGTTGGATGGGGCTTTGAGCAACCTGGTCCAGTGGAAGGTGTCCCTGCCCATGGCAGGGGGGTTGGAACTGGACTTTAAGGTCCCTTCCATCCCAAACCATTCTATGACTGTGAAACTTCTCTTCAACCATGTGCAAAAAGAAATAGCCTATATGCCAATAAATTTAGAAATACACGCAGCTGATTACATCTCCTCCTCAGTGGACCATGTTACTACAGGTTAGTATATACAAGCCACAGGGCTTCACAAAAACTGAAAGAGATTTTCACCAGGAGCCTGCATGGATGTGTATGTCCTTCTCAGAGAGGTTACCTTGAGCGCAGGCAAGCTGAAGCCATCAGTTAGATTGTGTGCCTCCTCTTCAGAGACCTGTTCTTCACTCAGTCCCAGACCCAGCTCCTTAAAGGGGACTACACAGATGTAGCTGGTCACATTGTCACTCTCCGAGTTCAGAGGGTAGGTTTAGCTGGAGTTAAGGTGGTTAACAAAGCAGCTTTTGTGTTAAACACACAGAAAAGGGAAAAACATCTAATTAGGTTTCTTATTTCTGGCAAGTCGTATGAAAGCACCCACATTTCACCCACATCCACCTGAATTGTGTTTAATTGAACATTTTGCAATCCTTATTCAGAGCACAAGTTTTAAAGGCTCTTAGCAGGATGAGAAATAAGACGTTGACAAAATAGTTATGTATAAATACAAACACATAAAAAGAAACAAAACAGATTGATGAAAGATCCCTGCATCCCTTTCAAGTAAGGAAAATATCTTTAAATAGTAAGTTTCCAAGAAGTAGCTCATGTTGATCTTAAACCAGAAATCATATACTTAACAGGGGAAAGAGAAGAACACTTGTGCGATTTTAAGTTTCAAAGGCAGCCTATGCTACAGACCAAACTCAGGATGATGGGAATTCCCTGCGAGTTCTGTCTGTGGAGGGACTGCTCACAATAATTGGTCTTTGACATTCCAGACAGTACTGTGAAGAACAGGAGCTCCTGATTGTCATACCATCAATTTCATTGATTACATCACCGTAAAGCCACCATGATCTTGTCAGGAACAGCAGCAAACTGTTAGCAACACCATTCAGCACATTTAAATTCTGAGTGGGAAAATGTACATTCCCAGTCCTCAGAACTGGTTACTACGTAGGAAGCAAGCACTATATAACTGATACCAGAAGACAGATAAAAATAATTCATTGACTAGGCCGCATTTATTTTAAAATAGCTCTAATTTTAGGCTAACCTCATGCTGGGGAAGGAGGAGGAGGAACAGTTCAAGATTTCGTGCATTTTGGGTCTCACCTAGTCTCAAAACAGTAAAATTTGCTTTAAAACAGAAACTTACAGCTTATGGTCATAAGCACATTTGCTCCACAGAAATATATATATACAAAAATATTTGTAAAGCATCAATGAAAATAAGACTTGAATTTAAGCTATTTTTTTTTTTCATTTATATTTCAATTTGCAAACTGAACACTTCCATCTCTTGGTGCACATAAAGCCAATTAGAAGCACTTGTCTCTTGTCTAACTAATGTTTTCAGGGGAAGCTACAAGTTCCACCCGCTTTTAGTCCCAAATTTTCTACATGCTAAATTCTCTTAAGATTGAATCTGTAAAAGTGATTTGCTCAAGAAAATTTTTATCACCTGAGTAAGTGAACACTGCATAAAAAAATCATATTCTGTGTCCCAGAAAAGAACAATGCCAAGTGTTCAGGTTCTAAGCAAACAAATACACTTCTTCCTAATTTATCCCCAAAAGAAATCCAGGAAGAAAGAAGCCTATTAAGTGTTCAGACAAAAACCTGCAAGGCAAATTAATTAGGCCCAGAATATTACTGTTGCCACTAGCATCTGCCTCACATGAATGCTGGCTATTGTCAATTAACCTGACAGCATGCCCAGCAGATGGAGCACATGGGATGACGATGACAACTCCACCAGAGATTGAAAAGTCAGGTCAAACCCCTTCAGGACCAGTTAGCTCTGAGACTAATTACATTCCTCGTTAATCTTTTCCTGCACCAAGCCATTTCCAACACATGAACACGATAAAAAGCAGTTTGGATACATGTGAATTTCTAAGTCATGTTAAGAAAAAAATTCCAGGCAACATCTCAAATGAGTGGTTTGACCAAAGGAGCCCCTTATCAATACTATGTCTCAACTAGGGATTCCCAGCGTACTCTGGCACCTGCCTGCCTTGACCTCCACTACTGCAGCCCTCCCACCCCCATTACTAGGGGATAGATGAAAGCAGAGAACTGATCGCATGCCACCATTAGCTTCCTAAGGAGTAAAGATCTAGAAAGTTTAAGCACATACACACAAACATATACATACACACAAACACACTTCCTTCACATGCTTTGCTCTAAAACACAAGTATTTTAAGTGCTAATGTTTTCTATTAAAGCCAAAATACAGTAACTAAGCTCAGGTTAATGAAATTTTATACGTCTTTTTGAAAATATTTCATTTACCTGTTTAACCTACATCCCTTATTAGCTGGGGAGAAGAGAAAGCAAAACTACTTAATAATAAACTGCCAAATCCAGAATAAAATATCTGTACAGTGAATGTCCAGCCTCTGCCAGGAGGCCACTCTTATTCGCCTACAGAAAAGTAAGAATAATAATGAACCCTTGTATGTTGCAATTTAATATTCAGATTTTGCTCTTCAAAAGCACATTCCCATCTCAAGATCTAACAGAAGGGACTCATAATATCCTTGAGAAATCCAGGCTGCTTTTTTATGAAATTCTCACCTGCTCACCAGCCAGAAGGGATAACTATACATGTGATGCATTGGCTGATCAAGAAAGAAACACTGTGTTGCAAAATGCCCAAGTACCTTTACTCAGACTTTCCAGCATCAGATTTCTGATTTAGGCTTCTATGACCCAAAGTGGGTAATGCTTTTTGTTTAGCTTACCGTTTTCTTGTTTGACCTTTCTCTTTCCCAAGTCAAAAGGTACGTGTTTTTCTAACATTTCATGATGCAATAACTATATTTTTACAGAGGAGAAGGAACTACATTTCATTAGATTTACTAGAGGAAATTTGCAATTTTGCCCATGCTCAGTGCACCTCAAAGACATAAAATGCATTTATATCTATTCCACCTTAATAGGGTAAGATATAATTAATTTTAAAATACTGCTATCCAATGTCTGGTTTTATAACACCATTTATGCTTTGCATTCAGAGAATGACACCTTACACTTACAACAAAATTAAAGCTTTTTTAGTTTATATAGTCCAATGCCCAGGTCCTACCTATCAATATAGTTCAATGGAAATGCACTATCACACCATCTTGCACTGGCTCAAGATGAGACTATTAACATAATCCAGCAAAATAAGATACAAAATTTCCTCCATCCAGCTTGCATATAATTAAACCAGTGAATAAAGCATAGATTCCCATGGCATAGAACCCACAGGGCTCTTAAGAATAAAAATATGAAGCAACTAGCATGTCAACTGAAGTACTGCCTCTGAATTATTACACAGTTTGATGCAGTGCAGAGATTTGTTGAAATAGTAGTGACCAGTCTGCACAACATCCTGTAAATACTTAATCCAAAATGCCTAATTTAAATTTAAGCCTGCTATATCCTTATCTTCCAGATTAAAACAGAAATACTTTTCTCTTTTCTCCCTTCTGTTTGATCTATGATTTTGAGCTATGTAATCTTTCCAATATGAACAAATCAGAATAAGAACAGCATTAGAAAATGCTGAATTGTTTCTGCAAGTACCCAACTGTCCCTTCACATAAAATGTAAGGAATATGTCTTTCCATGTCATTAAATTACTGATCCACCAAGTTTGATACAAATGCCTGGTATAACGCTAAACTATAATTGTATCTTTTTTGTTTTACATAGGAACAAATTTTAATTATGATGATATTAATTTATCCTACTCCATGAAGGCAGTTGTCTAGCTAAAAGGGGGCACACTAGCCACAAGCAAATACTGCTAAACTTCTAGTTTTATTGAATCGAGTAAAGATAATGTATCAAGTTTATGCAATTTTGCATTTGTGTATGCTAAATTGAGAAATATCTTCTGATCTTGTGCAAAGCAGAACTTACTAAAAAGAACCATAAAAGTCAGAATTGGCATCTGATTTCCAGATTTTGGATGGAAGTTCATTTCTGTTAAGTTATCAACATTCCTTCCCTTCAATTTATCACCTCGCTCCTTTATTTAATCTCTCCAGTTCCTTTTTCTCCTTGCTCTAGGCCAGATTTCTGCTAACAATCTGATGACAGACAAGGGCATTAAACTTGCCACAAATGGCAGCTGTGAATGCTTTTGACATGAAGGAATCTTTGGCCCCTCCAGTGTAAGAGTTCTATTCAATTGCACGAGGCACTGAAATCTATTTGAAAGATGCTCCTTGCCATATATGCCCATGTAATACACATAATGTTTACAGGCATTCATGATACACAGGTAAAAATTCAAACTAGGGCAACTTGGAACTACCTTAAAGCTTCTTTTAATTATCCTGGTGGGGAGGAGAAATCCTTTACTCACCTTGCTTACACTTAAGGACCTTACTTTCAGTTTTCATGCACTGCAGAATTGGACCAGCCTGCATCTCAGCTCACATGCTACCACGGGTTTTGCCACGATATTCTGCACGAACATAATGCTTCTCTTTCCATTTGTCAAGAGCCTATCTATACACATGCAACTTCAATGGATTTTTCAGCCGTTTATTTTTGCTGCCCTTACTACTGTGATATCTGCGTGATAATTTGGCATAATGGAACTTCCATCTTAAAAACTTTTCAAAGACAGATCTAAAAGCCAAATTATCCAAAGTAAACAAAGCCTTCTTCTCTCCCATTCCTTTAATTTAAAAGCCATTCCTTAAGTTTAGAAGTTACAAAATGAGTGGACAGTCTAATACACACCAATATTCCTTGACTTGTAACTTCCCCAGCCACAGCAACAATCTACACATCTGTCCTAACCACTGCTATCCCTCATGTAGGAGAATACTTGAGAAGGCCATGTTAACTGATCCTATTTTCAGATCTCTTGTTCCCAGAAGTGATTCTTGGTTATTTCCAAGCTAGGTATCAGTTGCTCTTATTAATCTGTCTGAACCAGTCAGAGTAATTTTTCTTCCTTCCTACGTAGCAAATACACCTACCTATTCCTGAGAGTTAAAAGTGAAGTCTTGAGCCGAGAAGGAGGATGCCTATCCCTACACAAGTTACTGGTTTGCAAAGAAATACTCATTTCCTTCAAAGTGAGCGCACATACCAGTAGCTTTATGTATTCTCCTGTGTGTTTACATGTCATCACTCAGTACATCCATCCATTTGCCAGGCAAGATATATTACTCGAGTATTATGTTCCAGGAAGACAAAAGAAGTGATTTGTCATGTCAGATTTTCACCACTTGCACTACCACCAGCTTTTGTTTCCCTGCATGCGTTTTTCCAGATCAGGAACGTACCTATTTTTTCTCTTTTTTTGCTGGAATACAGGGTGAAGACATTGATGTTTTCTATATAGTACAACAAGTATAAAAAACACAGAAAAAACTCTTGACATGCTAACACCATTTAAGAAAGTATACAATTCACCAAAGAAATACAGATGACACTTCACAAAATGGAATCTGAACAAAGTGTTCTGCTCTGATTTGGAGTAGAAACTCCTCATTCTTTAATGTGCCCAGCTTGTCTGAAACAGGAAATCAACTTACCTTTGAACACAGGGATGTTGAGTGAAAGGCCATATTGTTCAGAGAAGAGGCTATTTTGGTGCAAATGGAAAAGATGGCTAAGAGGAATTATAAAAGAAAATCCTTCAGGACTCTGAAACAGATAACAGTGCTTACACCAAGGGCACGGGTATCAGTAACTGGGACAACATTTTCAGTGCACAAAAAGTCAAAAATTTAGTGAATGTTCCAGACCAAGCATAAATCCCAATTTACTATGCTACCTTTTCTCTGTCTTGTTTAGGAATGTAATTAAATACTTTCTAGATACACTAACTCTAAACCCTGGCACAATTACAGGTAGGTAACATGGAATATCTGAACTCTTCAGGTTTTGCAAAAAGGATATTTTTTCAGCATGTACAGAGTAGCCAGTCTTGAAGCTCGGAAGTTGGCTCTGACAGAGCGATACACGGCTTTCCGGAGACCAATAAGATGCTGACTAGGATGCTGTCCAGCTTTATTAAATGGGCAAGCGGCACTGACCCTGTCAAGCAAACTTGAAAAGTAAAATGTGATACAACTGTACAGATGTCCTAAAGTATTTTTAAAAGACAGTACATCAGCTTTCTTATTCCATTACTTAGAAAACTTTTTCAAACCACTCAGTAACTATGAGAGCAAAACAAAAATAATCCATCATATCAATGATATATGTAATAATATATATTATATTATTATCCAACATATCAATGATATATTTGATCAGAATTTCAGATAAGCAGCCTGCATTCATTTGGAAACATGACAGGAACACAGGAAACACTTGTTTTCTCCGAAGTTTTCCAAAATCACACACTAAGGGTGGACAGGCCATATTATGTCTGATACAAAACTACCACAAGCCCACTGTAAACTTCGGAAATTCTAACAAATACTTAACATATACCTCTTTATATCTAAATTTGTTCTTTCGATATTTTTTGCAGAAAAAAAGTGCTACTACATATTGTTTTTCATGCTACCCCCTATATTCTTGCAACCTTTTCCATGCTCTCTTTTCTAGGTCAACAGAGATATTATTTGAGTGGTGACACAGATTTTATCATCATGCAATGAACAGCAGCTGTGTCGTGGAAGTCTGACAGGTAAACACATGAAATGTATGTAACTATGCAAGTGTATTTGAAAATATACTTTGGTGTCCACTTATACAGGTGAATATATCATTTAAAAGAAACTGTGCCATTTGCATATTACAATATACTTCAGAATAGCTTTAGAATTGTAAGAAATTGACTCATCTGGAAATAAACCGACTTGTGAACTGGGTGAATGTTAAAATATGTCTGTGTAACATTAAGCTGTAAAAAAGGAGGGAAAAAAGATTAATATCCAGTTATATAAATATTCATATACAGCTTGATACCAAACCTATGACTGAGACACTGAAAATAGCCTCTACTTGCTGGGACTGTTTTTACTAGAATCAACTCAGGAATGAACATAGTGTGGACAACAGGATGATGAATTGTGATTAATTGTTTGGAGACTGGAAGCCTGCTTCTGCTCTCACCTTTCCCAGGGCATGGTAAGGAGATGATTTCATGTCTTCGGCCACTTAAAATGGAAAAGCATACAGGGTACCTGGCAGGACTGAGGTGGACTATTTCACTGGGAACTATTTCTGTAACCTATGTGACTGAAGAGCTGACTAAGCCAGCAGACCTGACCCTGCTGGAAAAATGTCAGTCCTACTGCATGTGCTTAGTTGGACCATGCTGCACATTGACCAGGAGGGGAAATAGCTTATCACCTCACTGTCAAATATGAAAAGCAATGCAGCCCACCCAGTAAGCAAGGCTGAACTCATTATCAGTATGTTAAATATGATTAACACAAGGAGATTCATGCCAAATACTGCAGTATATTGAATACGCTAGCCAAAATACCACATTAAAATGTCTGTGTACCATATTAAATTATATGAGTGATATTAAAATGGTTTATATAACATCTCATAAAGTACTTTAAAATCTGAATAAAATAAACCCAAACTGTGTTAATTTCAACTTCTAAATGTAAATCTAAAATGCTAGTCTTGCCACACATTTCACTAGGGAACACAGCATGTAATGTAGAACATGCCAATCTTTAACGTTTCCCTAGTTTTTGAAGGTAACAGCTGGAAGTGTTTATGAATAAACTCTCCCATCAGTTTGTAGACTCAAGCCCTGGGTGAATTGTTAGAAGTAGGCTCAAAGAAAAAGAGCAAAATTCTTCTGCTGTAAAAGAGAGAAACAGATCTATGTTCTGCTACAATGATGTAAGCATTTCCAGCTCCCATACAGAACAAATATAGCACGCCTCACGCACAGCATGTACTGCCAGTATTAAACAAAACAATTTGCTTTCCATCTGGGAGGGCTTGTTTCAGTGTTTTTTATAAAATAATTATTTTTTATTGCAGTAATCTTAAATTAGTATAATTTGATATAAATGTCTCTATGCCAGACATGCCCTATCACTAAGTTCCTAATGTTCCATTTATCTTCTATATATTTTAATTGGACTTACAAAATATTATCAGCTTTGCGTATCAGCCACAAATAGCAAGAAGAAAAAAGGTTAAGGGTGAATTTCCACTTTCCTACTGCTCCAAACCATTCTACAAGTAAAGAACAGTAACTTATTTCTCCATTGGCCTCACAAGCCAAATTTTAAATAGGCTCTCAACGTCTAAGAAACTTGTAGAGACACATTAATAAAAACCTATTACTGTATTCTACCATGAAAGCAGTTCTATAAAGATGCTATATACACCAATACGTGTTCATAGAGCTTGATTCTAGTTTAAAATATAGTAGAAAGGGAGTATTTTGGAGAAAAGCTAATTATTTCAGTGACAAACAAGGAAATAACTACTCAATGCTTACTGCTGCAGCCTTTCATTACGTATTCCTACAGCTTTCATTTCATAATGTCTGAGACAATGGACATACTTTCATTACCCAGCGGAAATTCCAGGCTGCAACCCATGATCAGGCTTCATTTGTCTAATTGCAAATGAAGCCATTAGACAGAAATAGTGCCATTCTGCCCAAGTATAGCACTGCCCTATTTTGGCTATACAATTTCTGCAATCCAAACTAGCCTGGTGAGGTCTCAGCCATCTCTGCATCGCAAAGCTTGTACCATGCAGACATCATGAAATGCCAACAGTACCGTTAAAACACTTCTGAAGGCCATTCTGAAATAAGAATATCCAGTTGCCTTTGAGAACAGCTAATATAAAAGACCTGCTAGTTCCCTTTCTAAGTGGCTGCTCTGGATTTTTTTTTGGGTGGGAGGGGAATGAAGGCAAAACGATGCTTGAATTGGTTAATCATATAGCAGTCACTGTCACACAGTTAGTAAACCAGTGAACCAGGGACAACTGACCAAAACCTCATGAAGAAAAATTTAACATTTACAGAAACAGTCAAATATCAATTAACACGGGGCAAACAGGGTAGAATAAAGCAAAGCCACAGATATTTCAAAGTATATGCAAATTAGCCTACAAGAACATAGCAATGGATAATGCAATGAGGAGAAGAAACAGTAGTGGAATACAAGGAGCTTCAGGCCAGCGCTGCAGACCTGGGCTTCCCATATCAGGATTTACCTAAGTACACCTAGACAAAATCTGAACTCAGTACTGTTTAAATGTCAGCTTCAATATTTTTCCACTGACAACACGGTTGATGCACATTCCAAACAATGCTGAGCTACAAGTATGCTAGAACAGCAACATACATATCATTGAAAAGGATGTTGTGCTACCTGGTTGAAATCCCATTCCTTCAAAGATATAAAATGACACAAGAAGATACTCATTAACTTTTAGATGCAACCATTTCTATTGCCATGTCACTCTGAACAAGCTTTAAGACAAATTTACTACAGGAGAACATACAAAACTTTGTTCTGCTACGGTATATTGTAGCAAAATTCTGGAAGAAAGAAGGTAGCTAGTTTTTCAGATCATACATGAAGTGCTATCTCAAGAAAGAATTTCAGGTGCCCTGTGCAGCAGCGTCTTTTGCTTATATGGATGCAGAAAAGGACACTCTGGAATAAGAATTTACTCCAGGCTAAACCAAACAAAAACCTGTACAGCACTGACTTCTTCATACTGGACAACTGTTCCAATGAGGATGCTGGCACAGTCAAGACTTCTCCCACTCCATCCATACTCCAAAGTCTTTGGAAAAGCTTGCCAAAGTTTTAAGTAAAGAGGCTATTAGATCAAGCATCAGCTTAAAGAGCAGTCTGGTTTTTATTAATCTGTTATCTAAGATACGTAGTAAAAGAACAAGACACCAGCAATACAGACATTGACCACAAGTTCGTTTGCTTTAACTTAGGAAAAAATCCAAATGTTTTTCTCATCTGTAACTTGGACAAGCCCTAACAATAATTTCTTTTAACAACCCATTTGCAAAGATAAGACTGCCTATTGCTTAACTATATGCTTCTTCAGCAAAAAACCAAAACAAACCAAAACACAGCAGGCTAGGCAGCTAGGCAGACTGAAGACATGCTTTTGCATTCCAAAGGGAGTATGAAACAGTTCTTCAATGAAGCATACTGAAGGTATCTCAAGCTAGAAAATTAATTCAAAATGTTAAGTCTACAGATTCAAACCTACATGTAAAAACATGTGCGTGAGTGCAGAATACTTGGTCTGGCATGAATAAACAGTTCCTTGGTGCACACAAGGGAATTCTTCTACTGTTTTTAGAAATAAGTTGACTGGATTTCAGTTGTTGGCACTTCCCACCTCCTTTAACCTTAAGTCTAACTGGCACAGGTACATAACTAACCACAGTTTGTTATAAGTGAAAAGCATACACGTCAATGAGAGTGCGTAATAGCAGGCCTGTTGGCTTTTGGATTATTGCATACTCTAAACATGGTCTGATGTCCTTTCACATAGCAAACAGGTGAAAATACTCTCAATGAGTAATGTAAACTTCAGTTGAGGTGGGAAATGATCTTTGATGGTCTTTGCTGATTGCTGTGTTCTCCTTACTTCAGACTGTTATTTGTCAAATAAAAAGAGAATGATTCTATTCTAAAAATAGAATTCGTATTTGTTTTCTAAAATACGAATGATTACTTGTAGTCAGTTTATTTACACAGATTTGGTAATAAAAGACAACCCCCCCTCATACAAATGAGCCTCTAAATAACTCCTCAAAATAGTTAACTAAATTGGTTCGAAATCCATTTCTTCACGTTTTTCATTGTTAGCAGAATAGGAGATTTCAATGGCATACAGGCTTGGCGAGACTTATTTCTCCTTCAGGATGCCAGCTTTTAACAGTGAATTGTTAGAATTCATACATTTACTATAAATGGAAATTATACTATTTTATGTGAACAAAAAGCTTTAAGCATCACGTTTTTCAGTAATTCCACTTGTTATGTGAGACGGTGTAACCAGACAATTTTAGAAGGCATCTGGCTTGAATGGATCTGTGTATTAAATAAAGGGAAATATAGACTCACAGGGTAAATCCTCTGGAAATTACTTCAGTCTCTTGAATGAGCCGTAGAGCTTTCCTCACGAGATTAGTAAAAGCTCGGCTATTTGCCACTGTTTCTTCCAGCTGGATACAGTATTTTCGCAGGGACATTTGCAGTTTGGCTGTCCTCCATGTGTCCCACACTCGAAAGACTGCATAGACAAGTAGAACTAGTCCCCACAGCAGCCACAATGATTCCTTCCACCACGAAGGAAGCATAAGCAGTGCACTTACAAAGGCAAGAAGCAGCGAGACATCCCTGCAAACAGAAAAGGTATCATCAACCACAGATTCCTGAGGTCAAACGAGTGGCAAAATCATGAAGATTCTGGTTGCATTTGACATTATGACATCTTATTATGGGACTTTTATGTAGGTTCTGAAGGGAGCTGTAAACACCAAAAAATATTCCTAGTGGCAGATTTAGATGTATATGTATGTGCATGACACTAAATGGTCAGTATACTCTAAGGAAACATTTCTCCAGCTTTTTTATGGCACAAGGAGAAGAATAATGTACCTTTTTGAAAGGTCAGTTTCTCTTACACATATGACTTCAAAAAAAAAAAAAAAAAAAAAAAAAACCCGACTACTCAGCATTATAAGCCAGGGTGGGTAGGAACTGGAATATCTGTACTTCCAGGTTCAAGAGTACAGTAGGGAAGGGCATGTTTCTTTTGGTAACAAAATCCTCAAGTAGTGCCAGCTTTATTTTTTCTAGAGTCTGACTCATTTAACTTGGACATCAACGCAGCACTAGTTTTTAACACATTTTTATAAAGATGGCTTTTACAATCATTTTAAATAATGTAGCAGCTCTTGCAAATCCTTAGAGAACAGAGTTACTGCATCTCAGCAATCAGCTGTTTCTCAAGGATATTGAAAAATCTTCATAAAGCTGTTATTTTCACCTGGAAAAATTACACAAAAAGAAGAAACTGCTAGAAAATACTCTGTGTTTCATATATAGTATTATAGTTGCAGTTTTTTAAATTACAGTCTTCACAGAGATGGATGGGATATGGGCTTCAAGATGCATAACAACTTTATTTTTTCATATTTTTTGGAAAGAAAAACATTCACTTTCTTTACCCTTAAGGCTGCATATCCTGTATTCAGTTTTGGAAGTATTTGCAAGAAACATTTTCCCATTTCTAAACTAAGGCACAATCTCTGGGTTTCTATTTTCTGGACAGTTTTGTGGTCATATTTCAACAAGCTTTACAAGTGTTAGTTCTTCAGGGCTACTGATAGCTTTCATCAAAGCTCCAGGAATAAAATATTCAGATATGTAATTAACTTTAAAAAGGACAGACACACAGTCTACAACTTGCTCGGTACATCAAAAAGAAATAAAATCACACACGTAGGAAATGAATCACAACAATGAAAGACTCAAAGTGATTTAAAAGCTCACTGTGTCCATTTTCAGTTTCTGGTTAATTCAGATCATCACAGACAGACTGAAGAAGAAATTTAGACTCCACAACCCACCCAGGCAGCTATTGCAACTCATAAATATTCTTAGAGTTCAAAAGATTTCCCCCAAGTCCAGTATGAATCACTGGCAAATTAATCGCATTATTTTTCCTCACATCCTTTCCTTTTCTGAACAGAATAAATGACAACTGATCACTACCTTCCTATTAGCTACCTTCTACACATAGTAACACTATTCTATCCCACCTCAATTTTCTCCATTTTGGCTAAACAATCCTAGCACACTCTAATATTTCCAAAAGATTGTATTTTTTAAACTCATTATTATTCTTGTTCTGCTCTGGCCTGTGTCTAAATTGCCTATGCCTCTCTGAGTGCGGCATCCAAAACGAAATGCTGTAATCTTAACACAAGACTTAGGGGAAACAGACAGAAAAGTAACCCCCTGCATACAACAAGGACATCAGGATGAGATTTTTCTCAATAATTTGCTGAAGCATTCAGTTTATACTCGCAACCATGTGCAGATCCTTTTCTGAAGTAGTACTGCCAACCCAATTATTCACCACCTATGTTTATTAATTTGATTTTTCCTTCCCAAGTGTAGCATTAGACTTTTGTCTATTGACTTTTCTACTGATTTCAAGATATTTCCCAAAGCTACTTTGAATTCCATTCTGCCAAAACACTTATGACTTGGTGTTGTCTGTAAGCTGAGCAATATTCACAAATGTTTTAAGTGTACTTTATCATCTGAACAGTTAAAGAAATAATGAATAGTGCTAGGACCAGGACAAAGCACTGGAAAAGTATGGTTCAGAAGTTCTCTTGTTTGACAGAGAACATCAATAATGACATATTACAACTTAAACAGCTGGGGTTTTAACATGCTGTAGCTTTATAATAATTTTATCCATTTTCCTAACATAGCATGAAAACATAGCACTGGGCTGTGTTATGAAGTATTTTTTTACTGATTCCTGTCTATTTGTGAGCAAGACACTCTGTCAGAACACCCACTGTCCTTGCTGTTTTTCAAATACAGGTGGTACCTATTCTGACACTTCTGCAGCTATCTCCTTCAGTTTTCCAGGGTGAATTTCACCAGCCTCTGCTGGCTTGAATGTATCTTCTTTAAAAATTCTTTAATCTGTTCTTCTGGTATTCGACATCTGAAAAGTAATTGCACACACCTCCCCGACAGATTTTATGAAAACCACAGCAAAGAAGACACTTTTCAATTCATTCTTCACAATCATCTCTCATTTATCAAAATCACCACTCTATGGCTTTAGAAATTCATGAATTAATCAACCATGTTAGTTCTTCCCTAGAGCACATATTAGGGTTCATGTAGCTATCTCAGATTAAAACTCACTCTTTCAATAAAATGCCTGTGAAAAAAAAACCCCATGCTTATATAAAAATGTGGAGAACAGTGGACCAAAACTCTAAGACCCGAGGAAAAGCAAAAAAAACCAGTTACTTTGTTGCTGCATTTTATATAAAGAACACACAATATATTTTTGGTTGTTTCTCAGTGAATACGGTGATAGATATTGTCTGTACAATACCAAATATTAGGAGTTGCTAGGGAGCGTAGCGTTGGAAGCTGTCTGTTTTCCTGTTGCTTACACTGCCCTGCAGACAGGATACTGGGGTCAAGGAACTCAATCAGTTCCACATCCTCCTGCAGCAGAACTTCCTGTTGCAGGATGGTACGGAGCGTGTCAAATCGAAATCCAACATCCTAGCCACAAATGGGCAGGAGAAAAAAACAGGCATTAGCAGAGAATATGCAAATTCTTAAAATTAAGTTAGCAGAACAAGGAAAACACACAGACACTCTACACTTTGATGACAACAATCTGTTCCCAAAGACTACAGAATGTTTAGATATATCACAATTAGCTACTTAAAAAAAATTACGTACTCCCTAACAGTTCAGACTTGCAGGATGCATTGCACTGGCTTTGTGATCTGACCTAGACAGTAACAATACCTGGAAATGTGCCACAGACTATGCCAATATATTTGCGTAAGAATTGGAGAGGTACTATATCTATCAGAAGGTCATTAATAAAATAGCAAACACTTTTTTTTTTTTGATGTCATGACATAATTTACGTCATTAACACCCAAAAATTTGGAAGAAAAAGGGGGATATTACAGATTAGTCATTAAAAAAATCACCCGTGGATACTTAAAAACATTAGGGTAAATGCACTGGACTCAAGCCCTGAGCCGAGACAGTGAAGTCCCCTCCTGCAGGATTCTGTGCCTTTCCAAAGGAACTCAATCCAAACACAAACCAGCATGGGACTCTGAAGACCACACACTTGCTGAACTTCAGGCAAACTTCAGGGAGTTACTTATGGATTTGATGCCATGATAAGCATTTGCTATTTTTTCCTTACGAGTATAGCTCTTCAAGACAGATACAAAGCTCTTGAAGACAAGTATATCCACCAGAGAAATTTTCATTTGCATACCACACCAAACTATAATTACAAACCAAGTTAAGAATGTCATAACAAAACCCAACAAACACTAAACACGTGCATCTTTACATCAAGCTAGATTACAGGAGGGAAAGGAGAGTATTTCTGAAAACCCTCTATTAGAAGCTTTTAACAGAAGTATGACATTTCACAGTAAAAGATCTGCTTAGTTCTGCCATTGACAGATTGAGAATCTTTAAGAAACTGTAAGATAGCTCGTCAAAAGTTTAATTCCATATATTGATGTCACTTGAGATATTTTGCATTCTACTTTTAATAGCAAACATTTGTTTCAGGACTGTGTGCAAGAGGAAACTGCCTCCTCTGACACATCCTGTGTCATTTCAGTACCCTACTATAGCAAGCAGCAGGAGAAACATGTTTTCCGTATTCTTTGGTTGTGTCTCCGTCTCAAGAAAGTAAGGCTAAAAAAAGCTGTTAAGATAATACCTTTGATTCATAGGGGAAGAGGGAGGAATTAAAGAAGACAATCCAAGATCAATAATAAGAGGAAATTTTGTCCTTTTGAGATATGGGAGAAGAAATAGCTATTGGGCTCGGCAGAACTCAACTTTTTTTTTTTTGAAGCTACATCTGAAGACATCATCCCTACCTCATAGTAATAAAAAATAAATCAAAATGCTAACTTACAGATTCTAGGACAGTCTGACTAATGTAACACTGGCAAGCCAGACTAGGAACCTGGAGCAGGTGGGTGCAAGTTAAAGCAGATCTCAGTTAAGCCCAGGCTAGAGACTGACCTGGCTGGAAAGTGGCACTGCAGAGAATAGGTGTAAAGGCACCATAAAACTATTTTTAACTATTTGGGGTAGAACTATGACCTTTCAATCTACCTCATGCAAGCTGACTTGGGCTCTGAAAGTTCCTGCAGGCTCCAGAAGTAGAACACAACTTCTGGTGGGCAGATGGACTCCCAATCTGCTTCTGAGTTGCTGAGAGCACACAGGTACTACAGAGAACTGCTCTTGCCTCTCCCGGCAGCCAGACTGTAACACTGTTCTGAAGTATTGTAACAGAGGTGCCCTAGTTTGTTTCGCTTTTCCCAAATGCAGAAGCACTGTGGACAGCAGTGCAGGAACAAATGGGTCAGGATTGGTTCAGGGGTAGTAGAGCTACACTGGGGTGGTGCTATGCCTGAGCTAACACACAGAAACAGAGGGTGAAGCAATACCCAGGTGAAGCTCTAGAGATTTCTGTCTTGAGCTGTGTCTGCAAAGCGCTAGGCTGCAGTATTTGAACTTTCTCAGCCAGCATCTCCACACTGCCTTCCATCAGAGTGTAACTACTCTGTAAGTTAACACCTTTCAGCTTTCAAGAATTTCTTTAATTTCTCTAATACATTTTATTTTCATTTCTCTTCCACATTTTGAAAATCTTCAACCTGGCTACTGATATTGTTTCTGTTCTTGTGTGCTCAATTTGCCTGGCACAGTAACTCTGAAATCCAGAATCAATATTGTCTGAAGTAAAACTTTTAAAGCCAAAACCAACAATACAGACCAAAGATGGTGGCCAGCGGATGAGGTACAGAGGAGAGGAAGACTTGTGGATTAGGAAAGGAAATGGAAAAAAAAGGAATCACTTACCAATCGGTGAAGTATATCATCATTTTTCTTGTAATGTGGAAAAGGAAACCAACTTCTAAAGAACTCAACTAGTTTTGACAGGATGCTTTGCTGAAGGGAACAAAATCACTCCAATTAGAAAAAAAAACCCACAAAACCAAACAAAACAAAGGCAAAAATAAATAACAACAGACAATTCCTTTATTTCTGCATTTGCTTTTCTTGTTAACTCAGACCCAAGTACCTGTAAGGAAGTTTCACTTACTGTGTCTGGCCTAACTTCAGAGTACCCTAAGGAACATCTGCTTCCCGTCAGTTTGCCTGTACACACAAGAGCGTGAAATAAAGCTTTCAGTAACCCCACCTATTTGGAGCATAATGGATTGTTATGTTGTACTGTTAAAAATAACTACAGCTAGAATTGGTTTGATCTTAAGTTGGCAGAAACTGCATCGCTATGAAAAACCTTCTTTCTCCTTGAGCATAAAAAAAGCAGGTTAAATGGCTAATGGGGAATGAAGAAAAGACCAGGAGAAGAACAACCTCTCTTTGGCAGACCACCACAGAGTGAGGAAGAGACTTTAGAGAAGTAGTGAACAGAGACAGGGAAGAGTGACTGTAAGAAGAGGAACTGTCCCAGAACCTCCCTGTCCCAACCAGTCTGTGCTATCATGTGTGTACTTTGCTTCCATGCTACTTCCCATGCCTGCTAAATCCACACTCATCTGAGCTATAAATGTAACACTAGTGAGGCACTCTGTCTTGGTCATCACCCATTCTACTCATGTATCTTCCTAAAATATGATATATGAAAGACTATAATTAAATAGATGCATGATATTACTTCAGTCTGTAGCCATACAATAAGAAAAAGGTTTTGACATGCATTGTATATCTACTTCCCTCAGACTGAGCTGACGGGGAAGTGTTTTTCAAAATACTTACCTTACATGTATTTCATGATTTCTGAGGCCCTACCTCTTAATCTTCAGACTGCTGACATGCAATACAATCAACCCAAATGTAGGCCCCAAAAAATTAACTGTGGAGTACCTACAAAACAAGGAGTACCTCTCTCCTTGTTTTGTTGGTTTGGGGTTTTTTTTCCCCCCAAATATAAGGTGGAAAATAGAAGAGTAAAACTAAGCAACAGGAGCTTGGAGCTTTGCCGTTAGCACTGTGATGAACCTGACAGCCCTCTGCAAGGCAGCATGACACAAGTTTGGTGCAGCAAGCCAGGGCAGAAGAGCTTTGAGTAAACATCAGAAAATGTCACCCTGAAGCCCTTATGCTTCAACAGTTTTTGAAATAACTAACTTTGGCATCCATTTATGTACCTAAGTTGAGCTTTTCTTTACGTATATCTCATCTTTCTGTGTACAGTTAGAATTGCAGACCTATACCAAAAGGAAGTGTTTTTAGGTCAGCGGAGAGACAAACCAACAGGGGTTTTGTAATGATAGCTCTTCCCGATACACAGGCACCACTGGAGCTATCCCAACAATCCACACTCCTTAGACTATGGAATAAATCCAAGGGATTGTATTTTGATGTTGCTCAAGGGCACTGACGTAAGTTGGAAGAGGAGAAGTGTCACAAACTGCAGCACTGAATTATCCTCCCAAGTTTCTTGTGAAGTGGTGAAAAATAAAACAAAATTTTCCAATTACAATCTGTAGAAAATAAACCAAGGTCTTTGCTCTGCATTTGAGCTGCTGACCAGATACTTCATTCAGAAGTACTTTTCCTCATACTCTGAAAGCAGGGTACAGAAAAATTGCCCATTTACTATTTAAAGTGATACCTCCTGGAGCTTCCCATTTTCAACTGTTCAGCTTTCCTAAGTCTTTGGGGTTTTTATCATGAACATTTAAACCTACATCAGGATAATTTTAAACTGCCACCAGCTGATTAAACTAGACTGTGGAATTACTAGAAAAAAAAACCCCAGCAAACCAAAACCATACTAGTGTGCTATGTAAATAATCTTTTGGTTTATTTTCTGTGTTTCAGTTTAAAAATAAAAATCTGAGCTTGCATAAACACTCAACAGGCATGTCAGAGCTTGAAAACATAAAACAAGACAACCCACTGTCTTGGGCTGTGACCCAGTAGACTACAGTAACACATTAAATTATTCAGATCCTTGGACTAGTGTCTCACAGTTTGCATTCCCATTGGGAGTGTTACTGACAAGTAAAACAACTTTCATCAACACACAAGTCAGGTCATGTTGTGAATGCTTCTGGAGCATTCTTCTCACAGCTTTAGAACACCACTCAGTCAAGCCCTCTGTAAATTAACTAACAAAGATGTATAACTCCTAACATTAAAAACCATAAAAATATAAAAAATATTTTAGGTACATTCATTTGAATCTAAAATAAAATCCTAAGGACTACTTCCCTTTTGCACAGGATGAACCTGAAATGGCAAGCTAGCAGGTATCTAAAATATCATCATTCATTCACATCGGCACCTTTCACTTCTGTGCACTTCAGAAAGGAGATAATGCTACATATTCAATACTTCCCAGCTATCAAGAGCTAGCTTTAAGTGGCTGGGAGCCCTAGACAAAGGCAAAGGACCGGTCCCTCTGTCTTTCCACATCAGGTCACCTGCACCACTACTGAAGGCTAGCCCCAACACAATCCTCAGTAGCTGCCTCCAGCCCTATTCTAGTGATGAAATATTATCATATCTAAGATGGGATAAGGTGTGACAGTAATCAATTTAAGCATTCAGATATGCACAACAGTCTAAGAAAAAGACTGAGAAAGAAAAAATATAAATGGGAGTAAATATGTTCTGTAAAGATCAAGCAGAATTACTCAGATAGGATTTAATTCCAGAAAACAGGTCTAGGAGCTCTTGCAAGCAGTGCTTTGGAGTATCAACTGATCATGAGACCAGAACTTTACTGTAATTTCCTCCAGAGATTAGTACAGCCAGGAACACTGCACCTATAATTAGCATGCTAAATCACATCTCTATACTCCCTCAGATGGGAGCTTGGCATTTCATCAGCCCTTGAAGCCTTGAAGCACCTTTACCTTTATCGAGCTTTTCAGCTCAATGTTCACATGCAGGACAGCAAGACACAGCAGCAACGTTTGTATCGGTCACTAGGAACCCCTTTCTTTCCCAGATTTTTTTCAGTCCCTGAAATCCCAAACCAAATCTTCGCCTTGCCATAATCTTGCTACATGTCACCAGAATGTATTTGCACAGGGTTCCTACTTGACTGGATACATGAGTAGTAAACAACCTCAACTCAAAGATAAAGCAATACTGCAGCTTTTCCATTTTTATTTTAATAAAGTGTTCAAGGCATTTGTAAACTTGCTTTTCAGAACAAAAGCAAAACGTACACATGTATGAGACATCACACAGCATGGAACATCATCTGTGCCCTGTGATTGTATTTTGAACTACACTAAGCCTCAACAAGATCATTTTATATCAGGACTATTGGTAGGTACATATTCAGAACATATTCAGACTATGGGTAGGTACATATTTGTTTCCCAGACATTTTATAATTTCAGTAGATTAGGCCAACGAAGGCTGAGAGAAGGAAAGTGATAACTTGCTCATGTAAATTGAGGAAATGATTGGATGGGGATGTAAATAATTTGCCTGTGTCATACATGTTGCAGCAAAGTCTCAGATCCTTCTAAATCCAGTCTACTTCCTTAAATGTGTGACCAGCTGCCTTTCCCTCATTCTCTTTCCTTTTGAGACACCCTATCAAAATGGGACACAGAAATAAAATGACAAAAACAGACTTTCGGACATCAGATTACAAAAGAAAAGCGTTAACATTCCCAAACTGGTACTGGAACAGCAGCAGAAAGAACCTATATCACTAGAAGTTACACACAGGTTTCTTCCTTATTTCCACGACATATCCTTGTCTAGACAGAGAAGAGACAATGTGAATGTCATCCTAGTATTTGTAAGAAATGAACAGCACATTTTCACACACCCACTCCCTTCAAGTTGCAAGGCAAACCATGGCGAATTACTTCTACATCTGACACAATACTGGAGGACTTGCTCCCAACACAATAAATCTAAGTGTAAAATGCTTGAGGGGAAGGAAGGGGAAAAAAAAAACAGAATCCTTAAGGCTTTTCAAAGCAGTGTAGTTAATCCTTTTGAGATTCTTCACCCCACAGCACTTTTGTATTAAATTTGGAAATCATATATGTGAACACAACATCGTACTGCTTTACTTTCACAGAAGTATGCAAAATAAAGTAATGCAGCTAGCAAGTGACACTGCATGCACTACTTCATAGTAATGAACAGATAATCAGCCAATAAAGAATGTCACTCTAATTTTCAATTAACAGTGGTTTAATTAATGTCTTCCTGCACTAAGCCAGAATAGGTATCTTCAATGTAAATGTACCTCAAAACTGCCAATGGCTTTTAAAGGGAAGATAAATTTTTGGTGGTTTCTTAAGGGCTATGGTGACAATAACTGACATTTCTGAAAAGTAAGGCGAGTGGTCCTAATATTTCCATGAATATTTTTAAAGGTAGTTTAAATTAAAGTATAAAAAATGATGAGTTAAACCCTGAATTAAATTCAGCCTTGCCTTGTGACCACTGATAGAAGCAATCATATTCCAAATGCAATAGCTATCCACATCACTAGTAACTAGAAATCAATTTATTCATTAAATTTGAAATAATCTTACAGTAGAGAAATCAGTTGAGGGAGCATGAAGACATTGCAAGAATCACTTCTCCTCCCCTAAATTAATCTCTTTCGTGGGCTCACAAATCCTCAGCACATGAGACCGGAGTTCTGTAATCAAGCTCCTTCCTGATTCTTTTCTACATGATTACTGAGCTCTTTGAAAAGCTGTAAACTCTACAAGAACATGGCTGAGCAGTACGAAACTTAGAGATTCTTATTATAGTATGATTATTTTTCACAGGCATCTAATCCATGTACTCGGCATGCAGTACTTACTGGTCTGCTCAGTGGATATGCACCCTGCATCTTATCTACATGGTCATCTTTGATCAGAAAGTGGGGCAGGAGAGAAGGGAGACATGGCACACTTCCACATGACTACAAGTCTCAGAAACTGGGTTCAAGGTTGTGAAGCAAAGTGCGCAGTGCACGAGCCCAACAGGTAAAACCAAACTATGACCCATCTATACATGAATCATAGAATCATAGAATAGTTAGGGTTGGAAAGGACCTTAAGATCATCTAGTTCCAACCCCCCTGCCATGAGCAGGGACACCACATGCTAAACTATGTCGCCCAAGGCTCTGTCCAACCTGGCCTTGAACACCGTCAGGGCTGGAGCATTCACAACTTCCCTGGGCATTGATTCCGACAGGACTGAAGATCAAAGCAAAATGTTTCATGTTTTATCATCCTGTCTTTTCAAATGGACTAATGAGTGTGTGAGGAAGCTTATGAGTCTATACAGAGAGTGGTTGAAATTAATATCACTATGTGAAAATATGACCCATCAACACTCCTCTGAATACTGCCAGATGAATAAGCTTCATACTGCAATTTCTAAATTTCCACTTCAAAGACTGCCTGTCAGTGCCTGCAAGTATACCATAGCAAACATCTCAAAAAACACACATTCTTCCCCCAGATCAGAAAAAAAACCCTGACTGATGTTATCTACATCAATTCATACATTTCCAAATCCTACCCTTTGGAATCCTACACACAGCAGAATAGATTAAAAATCCCACAAGAAAAATGCTTCTGACCTAAAGCAAAGGAGGAACAAGAGGGACACATACAAAACAGGAAAAAAAAATTGTTGACATAAAGCCTTGTGACTATTACTTGGCTAATTCCTTGAAGCATCTGAGAACCAAGTAGCAGGTATGTCAAGATGGCATTATTTGAGAAAAGATCCCAAGAAAAGCAATAGCTCTCCTCATCTGCCCTATCTACCAAAACCTGCAGGGAGACCTTATGGAGATTTCCTGAACACTCATCATACCGCCTATGTTTGGGAAAAATAGGATGCTCTCCCAATTCATTGCCAACTAATTGGGAGGGTAGAACATTGTGAGGCAGGAAAGCAGCAGAGGTTACAAACAAGGGGAAAGGAGTTGTGAACCTCTGATTTGAAAACGGCTGAAGAGGTATGAAATAGGAAGGAACAACAGCATAAACAATAGGAAAACTGAGCTCTGGTAGATTTATTCCCAGAATGTCATGCTAAGGTAACATAATAATATCGAGTAAGTAAGATAACTTACAACACTCAAAAAATTCATTATCAACATTTCTTGCTTCCTTAGCATATGCAAGGGCAAAGAAACACTCCAAACTATACTGGCAAACCATGCACTTCCAAACACATTTGCAGACAAGATATGACAATTGACGGGGTTTGTTTTGTTTTCTTTTGGTTTGTTTTTCTTTTAGTAAAGTAAGAGGTTTATCTTTATCTCCTCTGATTTTGCCTATTTGTGAAATAATGTGGTTCTCCTTTGAGAAGATAAATAGAAACGGGAGAGTGCTCACTTTCGGGGCAGCATGCAGAGTCCGCTCTCTTTGGCTTTCCGCTGCTGCACATTGCTCTGCTTTCTGCGACACAGATGAACATACTTCAAAATCTGTGTGTCCCAAATCCTGCAGATATTGGTAGAGTGGGGAATTCTGAAAAAGAGTTAAAAATGAAAAATAAAAGAACAATGTTAAAATCATTCCCTGTTTTCCATAAAACACAACTGCGAATACAGCAACCACACAACCAGCAAGGAAGGGATTGAGAGCAGCCCTGCAGAGAATGACTTTGGGATAGTGGTGGATGAAAAACTGGATATAAGCTGGCAATGTACGCTTACAGCCCAGAAAGCCAAATCATACTCCGGGCTGCATGGCCAGCAGGTTGAGGGAGGTGATTCTCCCCTTCTACTCTGCTCTTTTGAGACCCCACGTGGAGTACTGTGTTCAGATCTGGGGTCCTCAGCACAAGGGAGACATGAACCTGTTCGAGCAGGTCCAGAGGAGGGCCACAGAAAAGATCAGAGGGCTGAAACACTTTTCCCTTGAGGAAAGGCTGACAGAGCTGGGGTTGTTCAACCCTGAGGAGAGAAGGCTTCAGAAAGACCTTACTGCAGCCTTACAATAACTAAAGGGAGCTTATAAGAAAGATAGGGACAGACTTTTTACCAAGGCCTGTAGTGAAAGGACAAAGGGGAACAGCTTTAAACTGAAAAAGGTTTAAATTAGATATTAGGAAGAAATTCTTCACTATGAGGGTGGTGAGACACTGGAACAGGTTGCCCAGGCAAGTTGTGGCTGCCTCATCCCTGGCAGTGTTCAAGGCCAGGTTGGAGGGGACTTTGAGCAATCTGGTCTAGTGGACGGTGTCCCACTGTGGTAACAAATTGTTACAGTAAAAGTCATTAAGTTGCTGGTGCAAGTTGAAGATGGCTGATCCACTATGACCATGTACCAACATGGCCAAATCTCCAATGACTGCTTGCCATACAATAAAACATGGTAGCAATCATTCACACAAGCTGAGCAAATTAACTTGTTACCTCTAGGGACTTTCTTTAACTCCATCACTATAGTGCTATTTTGAGCACCCTTACCTATTTAAAGCATGCAAAGTCACACTATTGCAAGTTCTGCTGAGTTACAACCAATTCAGTGTCCAGTCATCACCTGAAACTGAAACATTTGTACCAACTCACAGGTACAGGAAATTCCCCTCACATGACCATCCTGCAAAACACTAGGATAGGTTAATGACTCATTTCCGTGTGGGCATTTTTGCAGTGTGACAACTCAGTCCTACCCTTTTTGCAAGTACCCTTCTCCAGTGTTAAGTACTTTTTCAAATGTGTCTTAACTCTAATTAAACAATGTGCTGTTAGGACTGGCTGAAAAGAAGGTGTAGAACGTGCCACTTTACCAGAATCACTTAATTAAAATGGAAAAGAAAACATAATAGACTAGAATAGTTCTCTTATTTAAGACAGTTAAATTTGTGTAATAACTTCAGGACTTGTGTAATAACTTCAGGACAAAACTCAGAGAATGAATGGATGCACATAACCTTGTCTTCTTAAAACCGTTTTCGTACAGAGCCAGGCTGTGCACTGTCAGCACATCTGGAACAACCTGAACACCCCAAGAGGAGATGCTTTAGGTTGCGAGGCATGGAGATTTCAATCAAAACCAGCCAGAATTTTCGCCATTTAGATGAAGACACATAGACAAAACAGTGGTTCACCAGAGAATGTTTTATTCAAAATCATAGTGTTGGTGCTCACTCCAAGCAGGAAATTGTATCTAGGCTCTTGGCAGACCTGTCCATCATCTTGGCCATCATCTTGGCCATCATCTTGACCAATTTTTCCCTCTTACTGGGTATTTGGCAACATCAAAACCTTCCATCTAATTGTAATTAATATTTTATACTCTACAGAAATAGTAAAAAATACACCATCTCTCCAAATGTTAGTGAGACGAGTAATTTTATTTGTTCTTGTAATCAAGGTCGAATACAGGCTCCTGACTAGTTCTACATAAATCCCTTCTGATTAATTTTTGAAGGCTTTTACAGGGTCTAATTATGGGTAGCTTTGCAATTTTTTATTACTGATTGGAACTGGAAATCAGTTTTCTGACTACTGAGTTAGAAAATTATAACTAATTAAAATTTAACTTGAATGTTCATCACGTATTTCTTCAAGTTGATAAAAGTTCTCCTCTTTCAGTGTATCAGAAAGTACTCAGGCTATGATAATACCCTTCTAACACATTTCTCTGGCTTCACATGCTTTCTCTTTCCCATTTATTGCTAAAAGATCACCAGCAGAAGTTAAGTGCACATTGGAAAATCTCACTTACATGACCAAGAATCTTGCTGTGCCTAAAATCCCTCATGCTGCAAGAGTAAAACCAACATTGTTCCTCCTTCTGAATCCATTAGCAGCATTTAAGATGTGGGTAAAGAAAGCACTGAGTAGGCCCTTGTGACATTATCATAGAATCATAGAATAGTTAGGG